TTCAATTTAATGCAGAAAAGGCATGAAAAGGGCATTCCCTTAGCACATTTTGCCATTTTTCCCCGTCGCCTTCCCATTTCATCAGATAATGGAAAACTAATTTACCCTGACGTGTAATGCAAAGAGGAGAGTATTCGTGTAATTTCTCGCTACTACGCGTTATAATATGCATATAATGAGAAGCCAAAAGTCCTTGAGGGACTTACCTGTAAACGACATAGCCGGCGTCGTTGGTCAACTCGCAGATCCATGGGCATGGTTTCATCGGTATGAGTATAGTGGTGGTGTTGGACGGGCCGTATAGAGGAAACGTGTCGTTGTATGTGGGATGCGACTGCAGGACAGAGGAAACGATTAAAACGCGTGCGAAAATACGATTCGACTGTGGGCCGATTGAAAATATCGTCCCAAAATAACAGCACGAAGGCGGATTAATCGCGGCTAGTACGCACCCGTTTGTCTTTCCAGCCCACTAGAGGAGGAAAGCAGATAACGAAGCTCAAAACCCAAACGGTGGCCACCAGCAATCTAGCCCTCTTCGTCGACATAATCTGGATTTATAAAAAAGAAGCAATTAACGAGGGGGTGCGCGATAATTGCACAAATACTGCCATTAAGCGATATATTGCGTTAGCTTTAGAAGAAAAAAATTCATATTCCACCATTTACATGTCGATGTCTTTGTTTTGATAATTTTTAATTTTTCGACACGCAAGTTTACATTATCAGATTTATAATCAGAGATTCTTGTAGAATCGTTTTTGTTATTTTACCGTCTTACAATTTCCGAGGTATAGAAAAATTGAAGTATCGATTTTGACATTAAGCATCGCACTTCGAACATTTAAATATATAAAAATGTAAAACTGATAAAAATGGTCTCAAGATCTTTGTTCTTCGTATAGAACTGTCTTCCAATTTCATTTCTTCTGTTTACGCAACATTACGCAGAAATTCACAACAGTTCAAGTGAATGACCATATCGATTGACGCGTACGGGCGTCTGATCTCCTTGGGATAATCGTTTTCATGAATGCTGAGTGGTACTTGCCTGAGGATAACTGACTGGCCTGGTCACAGCCAAATACCTATCCAAGCTGATGGCGCATAAATTCAATATCGATGCCGTGCACATCCAAACGTCGACTGCCAGCCACACGGAACACCAGAGATTTCCGTAAATCCAAACCTTTCAAGAGAGACGTTCAAAAGGAATACATTCAAGAATAAAACGTCAAAAAAAAATATCTTCGCCATTTGGTGCAATCGATAATAATTTTTCCCATTTACTTGGCTTTACATTTAGTCAAACTCAAAGTTAGTTTTACTACAGTGCAATTCACCCCTACAATTCTCGTCATTCTCTAGATATTTAAACGTGGAAAGATGAATTGCCGAATGCGACGCATTTCGAAATCGAAGCAAAAGTAATTATTAGGGTGTATTAAGGCTGCGTTCCAATATCCTCTGCCAGCACTGAAAATCTATAATATACGTGACATGAACTATATATTTTCAGTACTGATAGTGAATATTGGAACGCAGTCTCAGTAGAATGATATTTATCGCAGATAGGCAGTTTGTAGCGAACGATTGACAACGATATATCTCGTTGTTCGTAAAACCTAGCGAGCAGATAAGACTTCGGGCCGGCACGTGTCAACGTCGGATCAATTGTCATTCAGGTCAGCGCTGATTCACAATGTAATCATGTACAATGGAATGCCACGTTCCGCATACGGCATGCGCGCGTTTATACCGTGCCGCACGCACGGCACATCCGCATAATGCTGGACAATATAACGCGTGCATCTCTACGGGACTGCAACCACCTGTTCAGAATTAGCTTTGACCAGTGGTGTTACGTGTGTTACCGATATTGGAATTCAGTAATTAATCTTCATTATTTATCGTCAGATTACTGCAGCTATGACTACTACACACGACCGCCGACAAATTGCGATTAAATCGATTCCGTTTCCACTGACTTTTTAAATGAATTCACCGTTCGTTCTGTTTCTCGATGCATTTTTTGTCAGATCGAAACGAACAATTAGAATTTTTGAAAATCTCACTTTCCAGAGGATTTTTGGCTACAATTGCATGTTTTGAAAATAAATTTTGTCGTTTTCAAGCTGAAAAATCATAATCAAAATCATAATCAAAAATAGAATTTTAAAATATCTGCAAAGAAACAAAGGGCCTTGAATTGTAAGTGCTTAATAATTAACGATAATCGAAAAAAAAAGTTTTATCACTCATAATTATTCATTTAAAACTACATATCCTGTATGTATAAATATGAACATATATATCTTCGCATAATGCAATAGTATCGTTTTTATCTTTGCTCTCAAATTCGTCTGACAACGCATTATTTAATTAAAACCAATTTTATCTCATATAATTAGCAGCATAACATATATAGATACAGTTTATCAATATACTCGAGCCATATTAATTAAATAATGTCTTGAGGTATCAAATTTTGAGAAAAACAAGAGGAAAAATGAAATTAATATAGTATATTTATTATTCGCAATTTTTATATCTCGCTTATTTTATTTTTATTTAATTGTTTTTAATCGAGATTAATATATATTGAATGAACACTAAAAATTCCGATATTTAATTTAATTTTTTATCATACCGATACCTATTTTATTTTTTAATCAATTATATTACATTTTTAAACGGCCGATTTTTAATAAACCTCTTGCTTTCTTCTTATTTAGCATCTAAACGTATCTTACTGACATGACGATATCGATATTGACACTGAAGACATTTAAGTTACATTTCCATTGAATTTACAATTCGGGCCGTATCGAGGAGACGCTCGTTATTGTTCGTATCGTTTCTCCTTTTTCTCCCACGCGCCGAGAAAATGTTCTGTGCCACGCCATTCGACCAATTCCCCCGGAAGGAAGAGGCAAGGAGGAAGAAACGCCTTTCGGAGAAAGAGTTGCATCGTGATAAGTGTGCGAAGAACTAACTTGCGCTATATTGTGTAAGTTCCAGCTAAATGGAGCACCTCGTTCTCGTCCCGAGTTAAGAGAGATTCACGCCGCTTCTATACTTCATTCATTGCCCACCGACCCGTTTCCGGGTATCTAACGAACACTCGTACGCATGCACACAGACGCGAATATTGCAGGCACGCGGAAATCCAGGCTGGAAGGACCAAAGGGAAAAGCCAACAAACTGTTGCGCCCTCCGTGAATCTCACTTAAACCAGCACGGCTCGCTCGGTGACTTCGGAATAAAATATATCGCCGTTCCACCGCGCCTTTCTCCTCGCCTTATTTTTTAATCGTGTTACAAAACGAGACTCAAAGGAATAATGTAACGAGTTCTTGAGAGACATGCCGAAGGAATTACTTTATTGTGAGAAAAAGATGAGCGAAAAGGAAACGAGAGGGTCTCGCGATTGACGATGCAATATTCCCGAAAGGAGAGAGAGAGAGAGAGAATCGTGACTTAAAATATTCTTCGCATGTGGTTACTTGTTTTTAACAAAAATACTTTTTGCAAAGATATCTCAACTATAATGGTAAAAAATAATGAAAAATTTCAAAAATTGTTTTCTGTGTTAAAAGGCACAAAAAGCACGCGATAATATTAAATACATAAAAAAGAATATTAATGCGCAATATTAAGTTGCATTAATCTTGAATTAATTTAATATAATAAAGATTAAAAAAAAAAAAACAAAAAAAAATGGAAGAACTGAGATATCCAAAAATGCGAAAAGTATGTGTTTGCTTGTGAAAATGTAGTTTTCGAATTAAGATAAAAACTAACGACAGATATCGGAGAAATTGTGCTTAATATTACGTTCGGACGCATTCCAGAGGAATAATATTTTCTGTTTTCAAACAATGCGCACCCTATTTATTGCAAAATATATCTTGCTTGTGACAACAAGTGAATATTGCATGAGACAGAGAATTCGGCGCTTTGTCTAGACTGTAAGGGTAAATCGATCCTGTCGAAAACCGTGTGTTAGTGAGGGACCAGCGGATGAAATTTCGCTGGCAGGCAACTCGTCGTTGTGTATCGATACGTCATAATGCACTTGTGATTGATACTATTGTACTCGAACGTTGCGTGAAAAATGCACTATTGATTGCAACAAAGTGAATGCCATCGATTCAAGATGCAACTCTGACAAAGTGATTTAAAACACAAAATACGATGCGTTGTTTTAATAAAACGCGATCGAATCTCTGTGATTCACACGATTTTAATCAAATGCTTTTTTTTAATCACTTTTAATCACTTTTCCTCCATTCTTACTCACGATCATCAGAAGAGTAATTTATAGAAAAAAAATTATAGTACATCGAATTCTTTAATTTTAACATTACGAAACAAGAGAACGAGAGTTTTGCTGGCAAATCCAAAATTTGACCAGATCTGAAAATAATTTCGTTAGCTCATCAGAATTATTATATAGAACGTTTAAACATCGTAAAAACGCTGCAAAAATTTGTTATCTTCTTCTAGCAATCAATTTGAACGTCGTAATAATTTTGAAGGATCAACAAAAGATCAGATCTGTATTTGGCTAAATTTTTAGCCAAGTAAAACCGTTCAGCAAAATCGTTCTCGTGTATATTTCCTCTCTCTTTCCATAATAATATCCTTACTCTACTATCGCAGTTAAAAAGAAATCTTACCTTGTATACCTCCCACGTCGCGCTGAATGGCAGGACGGCGACGCCGACCATCAGATCGGCGACTGCCAGACTCACGATAAACATATTCGTCACGTTTCTCAGCTTGCTGGTGCAGTAGACGGCTAGAATGACCAGGACGTTACCCACCACCACCATGACATCGACGATCGCCAGGACGATTAGAGTAATCACGTTCCACAGGCTCGACCACTCGACGCCGTCGTACAAAGCAGCGCATGCGGTGGCGTTCAGTTCTCGCATTTTAGTTAACTCTCGCGGTTCTCGGGTACGCCCATGCGATCCTGTCGAAGGATTCCAAAGGATTTCGGGCACGGTGACGATGAGGGGAGCTGCAAACTGTTGGATCCCGGTTGGATGCTCGACGCATCTCGAGCCGTCATAACGGAGCCGAAGTTCTTCCACGTTAAAAACTAAATGTACTTGAAACAATTACGAGCACTGTGATTTTTTTTTGTAGTTTTCACCAGAACACCATAGAGTCCTCACATGATTAGAGAAATAATAATAAAAGACTTTACGATCAATCGATTCACTCGACTCACGGCGAGTCGCGAGACTAGAATTTGAAAAAGCTCGATGTTTGCCGATGATCCTTAAACTCGAGGCCAACCACTTTTTCTTCAGCGACTTAATCTATCGACTAGTGTTATGTTTGGTTATATTTGTTTCTTAATTAATTATTTATGATTATTTTATATCTTATTACGAGTATAGCGAAAATTTTAATAAATTATGCGATTTTTTTTATCTTATGATTAGAGACCTTGATGTTATTTTGAAATAGATAGAAATTACAGTGTGTTTGTAATATTTTTAACACTGTCTCACTGAATTTCCTTAAAAAACAGTAATTCGTCATAAATTACACTGCTTGTGTACGTAACGTTAATCGTCGTAATAGTAGCTTTTTCCCCCTTTTTTTCTTGTTTTCGTTTGTAGAAGACTATTCATGACTTTTTGCTGAACGCGATTGTTAATTGAAGAGTAATCTCCATAAATTTCCGTCAATATTTCCACGATTACGGTTTCCAGATGAGTTTGTTAATGCGCACGTCACGTACGCTCGCCGATACATTTGATCATACACTGTCCAGTAGTCAATCTGGCGCTTTTAGTTTCGCGGTCGCAAATACGATTGCAAAACGTTATCCCGGATAATCGATAACACTCAGTCTCCGCGCACACAATCGCTCGCGTTGCACTCTGTCGTCTAACGTTACGCGGCCTTTAAACGATGGTGTTTTAGACAGCGTCGAAGGATATCGAATTTAGCGAGCTCGACTACGATCTAGTTTATGTTTCGAATGTCTCGTCATCTCCGTTTCCATTTTCCCTCCGTCGCGAAATTTCAAGTGGGCGATCTTCGTCGTGGTGTCGCGACGTCAGTCGATCTCGTCTTTACTCGCGATTTCCATTCGAAATTCTCTCTCGATATTCCCGATTCTCTTTAATCATCTTCCTTATTTCGAATTCTACGCGGCTCTCTCTCTCTCTCTCTCTCTCTCTCTCTCTCTCTCTCTCTCTCTCTCTCTCTCTCTCTCTCTCGCTCTCTCTCGCTCTCTTTTTCCCTCGCCGCGGATATATATCGGATACCTGCAAACCTCTCCTTCGAAAGCCGCTTTAGCCACGCTGTACTGCTTCGATTGCACTTTTCACTCCCCCGCACAAGCCACCCACGACGATCACGTAGCTACCCGGTAACCCACCAAGATCCTCTTCCTCCTTCTTCGGTTCACCCGGCTGCGAGGGTGCTCCTTCTCCCGTTGCCAAATCGAATCCGACGGAAGTCTTCCACCGTTCGTTCCGCTCGAGAGATCGACGTTATTTTTCCGCCAGGAATTGAAAACAGCGTCGTCGTCGCGTCACCTCTATTAGGCGCGATCGTCAGCTGACGTTTACGACGAATTTTACCGACGTCGAAATAACCCGCTGAGTGCCCCGTTTCCTGGATCTCACCCCGTTTCCTGATTTCTAAGTCGATAAATAACGATCTGATGCTTCCAGGACGTCGTGGGCGAAACTTCCTAGTACAAATTCGAGGGCGATTCCAAGAAGTTCTAATCATTCATACTTTTTGCTTATGTACAAGCGAATTTTTCTTGAAATTTCTTCTTTCTATAAAGAATTTTACAAAGAAATATATCTCCTTCTTCGAATACGATAATATAATAATTACGATAAAAAGTTCCGGGATTGTCTGAGTCCGACGGTTCTGATTTAGCCGAAGGGAAGTTGTAGGTTCGCAACGTACGTCGTTAAATCAATTCCTAGTTTTTACACTCGTTAATACGATATTTTCTTATTGGTGCCTTCAGAAAGGAAACCTTTTAAACTTTCACATTTGAACACGCATTTGATCGAATGATTCTGCACAAACAGATTACGGCCACGAGGTCTCTACGTGACCGTCAGGAGTAAAAATTATTTTTCTCTTAAATCGCTCTCCCTCTCGACGAGTCGAGCGACGATTCCTGTTGCTCGCTTTGCGGGCAAAAGTACGTTTTTCCCGCTCAACTCAGCGACGAATATTTCACGATCTTTCGCCGAATGAAAATCCCTATCCCCGGCCGCCGACTCTTTTCATGCCGAGAGAATCTCCATTACGACGAGCGCGTATAAACGGTCGCTCGTTACCGCTCTCGGTAGGACATAAAAATCGGATTACTCTCGTCGTTCCATATTTGACGACTGCACGGGCAGTGGGAGAGAGAGAGAGGGAGAGAAAAAGATAAAATTATTTCTCTTCCTACGACACTTCGGATTAAATTCCCTCGGTTCTCACCTCGCTTCCGCGCTCGTGCTTTACGCAGATCGGGCAGAAAGGTTCTCGCCTAGATCGCTTCTGTTCTTCGTGATTCGGTCGCAGATAGAATGTATGCACGGCGCAGAATGTTCTCCCGGACAATTACATTTCACTACCTATTCGGAATTCACGGCGTCTCGGGCGCGAAACAGAATTTTTCTATTTGCTCCTCGATCCCACTCTCGTTTCTCTTTCTCCTGTTTCGTCCGGCGGAGAAAAAGTCCTAGTCCTTGTCCTTAACAAACTACTCCGCGGATGTTCGCCCCAAGTCTCTCGATTCGGAACGCCCTACGCGCGCCTCGTCCCACAGGATTTACGCTTCTGACGCAATGAATTTACTGTTACGTGGTTGGCTGGAAATTGCAATCTTTCCCCTGGCGCTCTTCCTTTTCACGCCTTTTTCAGGAACTTCCACCCGGCGGCGTTACGCGGGAAAAGGGCAAAACGAGACGGCGGAAGACTTTTCGGCAACTTCCTAGAAATACGATCACGTTCCACCCTGAATGGGGTGAGAACGGTGAATTTTTGGCGCAGTTCCTCGCGATCTCTCCCACGATCGTTTGTCGACGTGTCGGAAATGCAGGGCGTCGGAGATCGATACAGAAAATTCCCAGGGTATAAATTCCGCGTAGATCAGTTTCGCTAAACGACTCCGTACGTCTTCTCCCTCCGACGATTCTACGCCCACCCTTTTTTTCGGACGTGAGTAGGTGGTTTTATTCGCTACCAGGGACTCTCGACACCGAGTCGTATCTTCTGGCAGTAATTTTCTGCGCAAAATCACAACCGATGAGAAATTTTTATTTCTCTTTCCCACGACCGATTTCTACCAAAAGAGAAGATGGCGGAACTTGGAACCGTTTGACAGGTTCCGAGATTTTCTTATTTCCTGCGTTTTTTCTTTTCAAATGTTTTCTCTGCTCCAACAATTTTCACAAACGTCGTGTTCTTCACCTATCGTGCGCAATGCTGGATTTTGTCACGAATAATTTTTCACGTTCAGCGACGTTTCTCGCGCGTTTTCTTAACGTCTCCGACGTTCTCTCCGCTCGTCGATTTCCGCTAGATTATATGTTTTACTCGAAATCGAATGAACCGGTTCGAATATCTCGTCGACGATAGCACCTCGTTCACACCTTCCAATTCGAATTCACGGAAGTAGCCGATTGAATCTTTAATTCAACTATCTAAATTCTCGCTCAAATATTCCAAGCTAATCCCGCTATGTCGATCGTTTGAAAATTCGTCTCTTTCTCCTCAGGAATCGAAGCCGATTATTTCCTTTTAATTTTTTTCTCCTCTACGCGCTCAATTAAGACGTCTAATAAATGGCCAATTATTTTTCCTCGCGCCTTCCGCGAAAAGGAAAAGAAGTTAAAATGCTACATGAATTTTCAATTACTCCTCTTCGCGGCTTCCTCGGCATTCTCACGGGTTTTCTTTTACGTTACATCGCTTCTACGCGGTGATCTGATATGCCGAATGAATTTCCAACGATCCCTCTTGATTTGGTCGCAATTTATTTCTCGAGTTGCGCAAAACGCCGGATGAATTTTTAATGAGTTTGTCGCTATCGTCGCTTTTCCGTGTTGCGGAAGTCCGGCGTCCTGTTACACCAACTGTTCTTGGCACAAAGGTCTAAATAATACTATCACTGTAATTATCACTATGATGCTTAATCACTTTAGAAGCATTGATTGAAAAACCGATCAGCTTTCAATTAAACAAATTTTACGAACTGCATTATTCTCCCTATAGTTTTAACGTTTACCTCACACTTTCTGGTCTGATTTCGCCAAAATATATTCTCTCGATGAAATTTATCTCTCTCTTATATATGTGCTGAAAAATTGAGTGCGTTCTCTTCCTGGAAACTCAAGTTAAATAATCGTAATCGAGGAGATCGCGTTAATTACCGCCGGCTTTTGATTTTAAGCGGCTAAATTTTTACCGGCCGCCGTTTTAATCATTATGCACCTATATATATATA